GGCGGCCCCCGGCAACCACTCAAGCCCGGGAGGGAGAAGGAAAGAAAGAAGCAGGCAAATAGAGGCAAGAGGCGAGGAGCCCGGTGGCCGGGGCTCCAGCCCTCCCCCCCCCCCCCCCCCCCCTCCCCCAGCACATGCATGCACACCTTCAGACACCCGAAGGTCAGGAGAACCGAGTCCTCAGTCAGGACGAAGTCCACAATGCCCTCGCGGTAGAGGTACGCCAGCTGGGCGTCGGCCTCATACGGGGCCACCACATAGGGGATGCGCCGCGCGCGCAGCACCTGGATGAAGTGGAAGGCCAGCTGCGGCGTGATGTCGATGGCCCCGCTGATGTGCCGACGTGCCTCCGTCGGGTCGACCGCCTTCAGCTCGTGGTAGTTGTCGTGCTTTTGCTGCCGGGCCCTGGGTACGGGGGAGATGCCATTTGCTGTGAGATGGGCCGCGCCAAATGGAAGGAGCAACCCCCTCCGCCGCCCCCCGGCCCCCTGAAGGAGCAAGGGCGCGACACCGCCCAGCCCAGCGGCCAGGCGAGGGGGAATCAAGAGCCAAGGAAAAGCACACCCCCGGGAACGCACTGTGCGCGTGACTCCTCCGTCAGGCGCTTGGCCGGCAGAGGGGCCCCATCGAACACGAAGACCGGCCGCAGGCCAGCCTCCAGCAGCATGTCCAGCCGCGTGGTGCAGTAGTCCACCATGCCGCGCGGCGACCCGCCGGACAGGAGCTGCTCACTGCAGGCGAATGCCCCGCGGTGCAGCCAGCCATACGTGTCGACGCCCACACGCTGGCCGTGGAACTGCCTCAGGTGCACATCGCGCTCCAGTGCCCGGAGTTTCGGCAGAAGGCCCTTGATGCCCATTGTCGTATGGGTGCCTGGACCGTGGGAGCGAGAAGAAACGCGCGCCGGCGGTGCAAAATGCCGTCCAGATCGTCGGGCTGAGGAGGGGAGGGGGGGGAGGGGGGCGGGCGGGCGGGCGGGCGGGCGGCCTTACAGGGGCCGGGCAGACAACTGTGTGTGTGTGTGTGTGTGGGCAGCCGGATGAATATGCGCAGCGAGGGATCTGGGCGGTGGACCTGTGTGTGTGTGTGCGTGTGGTGGTGGTTGGGTGTCTTTGACGAGAGGGGAAGAGAAAGGGCAAGGCATGGTCGGCTTGCGGCTTCCGACCGGCCAGCAGCATGGCGCCTTTCGATGGTAACCACTGTGGCAGATGCGCCGCCGGAGGCCCACCGGGGAGGGGCGGGCCCTTTGCCCAACCGCATGTGGTGCTCTGTAGCCATCCCCCATTGCCCCCTCGCTGGGGTGTCTAGATCTCCCGACGGGATCCAAGAGGAAACCCCCCATGTACACACACACACACACACACGCTCGCGCGTGCACATGCGACGGAAGCCAGCCGCCGCTGGCTGCGACAAGTGCGCCGCGGCGCGCCATCGGCCTG